TTTACACGTTCAAACAAAACAATAACACCAGATTATAAATCTTCACAATTAACTAACGCTACCGGATTTAATAATTACTAAAAATCGTCAATTTGTTGAAATTCAATAATGTAAGTGTCATTTAATATAACATCTGATTATTTCTTCATTTCTATACGTTAGCAAAATATATTTAAAATGTTCGTAAGTTCTTGAATAATATTTATTAGGGAACCTTTTATGTTTAACCGCGATGTTTTCTCAGTGCGAACGTATATCGAAACACGGAACGTACATGAGAGAACGGCGACGGCCAGCAGCGCCCGACGCAGCATACTGCGTCTTATCGCTCACTCAAATATCAATATTTTACGTTGCCTTTTGCTCCGTTTGTACGATTATTGTGTCGACACTTCATTCGCACTTTGCTGACTTTTTAATGCGATGATAGCTGGATTTTTTATATTATAACATGAATCAGTTAATGGCATTGGGATTCTCAGATATATCGACTTTATTTATTAGGATGGGTTAAAAAGAGGAATTATTATTTTTTGTGTCCCCCGTCTAATCCACTTCCGATAAGTGTGGGAAGGGTAGGGTAAAATTAGGTACCCAGAACGCACACATAGACGAAACTCGAAATGTCTATTTTTTTTTTATAATATAAGGTCACCTGAATCCACCGAAATGAAGACCGACCGCTGCGCATAAACATACGTAATTGCAGATGCGTTGCCTACCCTTAATTGACGGAGGAGACGCACATAAACAGGATATTTCCCCTTCCCATCCTTTCCTCTTAAGAAAAGGGTGGAAAGGTAAAGGGACTAAAATTAGGCCACCGGCGCCACATTCATCAGACGAAACGCGGAATTGCTTCCACTTCACGCCTGTTTTCTGTGTGGTCGTGGTATTACTGGGGGCGAGCCGGTCCATTCGTGCGAAGATGTTAAAGCGGGCTCTACCACTTTCTTACGCCTTCTGTATGGTTGTGATATTGTACTAGTTTACTCATTTAAAATTACATGAAAAAACATACTGATCCTTTTTAAAGTTGTTAATTCCTGATTGTTGTTTTATTGGCAATTTAAGTAACTAGATATTTTAATGTTTTTTTTTTTGCAGGCTCGATTCCTTTTATCAAAAGTGAATCCTTCGCAGACCCACAACAATATGTATGCGTACGGCGGGGTGAGTCACTGTCACTTATATTTATTTTGTTTATTACTGTATTTCTTCATACACAAAGAATGGATGGAAATACAATGTTTTTTGTATTAAGAGCGGGCACACCTTTGACTAAAGTATCGCACAACTGTACGATTGTCGATTGTTTCGCAGTCATTTTAACTGTTTAGTTTCACAACTAAAAATTGAGTATCTCCATGTAAGCTGATAGGAATTAAATGACTAAAAAGTTGTGCGATAGTTTGGTCAATATTGTGTGCATGGTCTATTAAAATGAAATTGTTTATTTGCACTACTAGTCTTAAAACTAGTTGATTTTGTCATCTAGCTAAGCCGACATATTTTTCTATAATAATAATAATAATAATCATTTATTTCTATGTAAATTCATATTAAATTTAACTAGTTGGACGCAAAACTGTCAACAGTTGAAATGTTGAAAGGTGATCAACGCTTCAACTAGTTTTTTAAAATAACGCCCGTCGCTAGTTATCACAGTTTTTATATATCCTAAGGTGGCAAACGAGCAAGCGGCCTGAATCCACCAAAATGACGAAGTGATCGCTGCCCATAGACATACGCAATGCGTTGCCTACACTTAATCGATGAGGATATTTCCCCTTCTTATACGTCTCCTCCAGCGTCAAGTTCACGTTCCCTTCCTATCCCGTCTCTTATAAGAAATAGGATGGGAAGGAAAAGGGACCAAAGTTGTTGAAATAGAGTGTGTACTTGTTAGCACGGCTTTGTTGTTGTTAATTATCACTAGTAAGGAAAATTATACACTTTGATAGATATTAAATTTTCTAAATCAAAGTGAATATTTCTTGATTTTTTCATTTAACAAGCTTTGTTACATAAACTTTATTATTTTGGGTTCGATTCCCAATTTAGTAATTATTTCTATGTTATTTTATGTGCGTAAATGTATGGAGATAGAATAAATACTGTCACTTATGTGATGAATTGCCATTTTATGGATGTTTCCTGTTTTTTTTATAATAAAAGGTGGCAAACGAGCAAGCGGCCACGTGAATCCGCCAAAATGGCGAAGCAACCGCTGCCCATAGACATCCGCAATTGCAGATGCGTTGCCTACTCTTATCCGACAGAGGAGGAGATGCACATAAAGAGGATATTTCCCCTTCCTATGTATCTCCTCCGTCAAATCCAATTCCCCTTCCCATCCTCTCCTTATAAGAAAAGGGCGGTAAAGAGAAAGGGACTGTTGGACCTAATAGCCTATTACACATATTTCCCAATGGGAAAGTAACTTGTCTCTCATTGGGTTTGTCAGTCCAACAGGAAAACACGATTCTTATTCTACTTTCATACATTTACGCCGTAATTTAATACTTTGAATGCTACCGTTATGAAAATGCCAATATTAGCCAGGTAAAGCATTGAAAGTGTTAAATTTGTATTATATATTTTAAATATGTTTCATATATGTGTAATTTGCATGTAAGCACCATCATAGCATGGTTTGAATTGATGTTTTTTGTTCCATCATGGTCGCGTCGAAACACCAGGCGATGCCGATACCATCTGCGGTAGTGTTTTTTATTGTTTTACGAGGTTATAGGGTTACTAACACTTCTAAACTTTGTTTTACTTTGCTGGGAAAGAATTTATCGTCTGTACTTCTCTATTGTTTGAGATAGCTGTCCTTGAGTTATATTTATTCTGAATTAACTGTGCGATTTCGTTCGCGTGAAATTAAAAAATAATAAGAAATATAGCCTAAGTTACTCAGAGATAACGTAGCATTTTAATGGTGAAGTAATTTTTGAAATCTCCCCAGTAGTTTTTGAGTTTATAATATTAATATTAGTAAAGATAAACTATGTATTTTTCAAGTAATTACAAATCCCTAATATTTTTTTTTTTTCAAACAAAATAGGTATATTAAATTATAGCCTGATCAAAAATATAAAAACCTTTGCTGTAATACAGAAAATTTGGAAATAATTTCTTTGTGTATATTAATATTTACGATTGAAGCTCCAGGATTTTTATATTTTTAATTATGCTATAATAGCTTTGTTCCGCACTAACAAATTAATCTTGCTTTATGTGCATTTGTCTAAACTCTGCCTTGGGTTTCACTACACGTACAGTCAGCTTCATAAATATGTAGACAGTTACAGTTGGTCTCCAAATAATACATACCTCTGGTTTCAAAAATCATCGTATCCGTTCGTACGCTTCTTATAAATATGTGTATACTTATTTTTTTAACCATAGGCAAGTTTTTAAAATTTATTAGTGGTAGTGTTTTTATGAAGCTGACTTTACAAAATTATTGTCATCTCTTTCGCTCTTTAAGAAAAACCATAGATAGTGAAATCTCATGGTGAGTTCTTGCGCTGTCGTTTGTCAAGCTTTGTGTGTGTACTCTATAATTTAAAACCATAAACAAAAACGTTTGTGGTTTTAAGTTAATCAATCAGACTATTCAGTTATATGATAAATCGAGATGTTAAGAAAGTAACATTTCTCAGTTATTGTTTAGTAACTTGCTGGCGACTTCATAAGCGTGAATTTTAAAATTAATTAAAATATAGCCTGTTACTCACTGGTAACATAGCTTTATAATGATTTTTTTTTTAATTGGCCAAGTAGTTTTTGAGTTATTTCAATTCATACAAAAATACTTCTTTCCTCTGAATAATCTATACTAATATTAAAAAGAGGAAAGAAGTATTTTTGTATGAATTGAAATAACTCAAAAACTACTGGGGCGATTTCAAAAAATCTTTCAATCAAAGCTATGTTACCAGCGAGTAACACAGGATTTATTTTTAGTATTAGTCCTTATCAGTATGACTTAGGAAAGGTTTTGGGTACAAATAGACTTTTTAAACAATATTATGTTTTAAATAATTATTCCTCCGTACAGGACGGTGGCGCCCCCGTGCTCACTGACGACGTGTCTCTGCAAGTATTCATGGAGCATCTCAAGAAGCTCGCCGTCTCTTCTACCGCGTAATCAGAAATTCTTCATGTATTTGTATCTAGAATGTTCTCTAACAATATATTTGATGTATCACAAATAAAATGTGTTTTGTCTAATCTTTGTTTTAATCCTAAAGTCAAAATAGTAACTATTATGGGCGTCAAAAGGTTATTTAGGGGGGGTAGGTTGATGATTAAGGGGGGATTAGTGGTAAAATAGGACATGTACATTTTTTTCATGAAAAACTGACTGAGTTATCTTTTTGAGTGTGAATTCTAGATATTTTAGTTTTTCGCAGTAGCTATAATTTTACGTTTTTCGATTCTTTACGGAATTTCTGACGCCCATATTTATTAGTGTCAGCTTATCCATTCTTTAAATCTACCTTCTATGAGAACATTTTATTAAATCATATTTCGTTAATATTATTGTTCTGAAATTATCAAATTTTTGTATTATCGCTTGATAGTTTCAATTGAAATAGTTTTTATATACGTAAATTTTCACGTTACGACATTCCTAGTAAATACAATCTTTTTTTTTAATATATTTATGCAACAGTATTTAAAATCGTTCGCTATTTTTTCTGTAATATGTTTGCCATCTTGAATTGATTTATAATATTTACTCTGTTTCTTAACACTTTTTTTAGCTAAACATGTTCGTAATACCCTATTAATCTTGTTTCGTATTATATTAAGAAGATTTAAGTTTTATATGGCGTAGACAAAATTTCGCAAGTATCCATTTCTGTAGAAATCACCATAGCAATGTGTACTCAGTTTATTTTTTTGTTTTGTAAAATATTTAATACAATAAAATGTTTATGGTATAAAATTGTTTTTTTAAAAAATCCATAAATAAAACAACATTTGAATAAATATTTATTTATCTACAGAGGCGTTGATATAAATATACACATTTACTTTTAAAAATAACATTTTTGGTCGCACCGTAACTCCTGCAATGCATTTCAAATGCATTAAATACCTAATTGTAAATTGAAATGCAATAAAAAACAAAATAAAAAAAACTAGAAAACATGCTGCTACCATTTATCCTTTAAACTAATAAACCCTTAGCTAAAAACCAACAAATAGAAAACTAGTTAATCCAAATTTTAAACAACTAAGTCATCTTAGTAAAAAGGCTGTAAATAATTACAGACAGTATTTGATGCAATCAGTTCAGGAGTGCGAAGGTCAGTTGAGGAACCTGATGGACATCTTCTGTTCCACATCGGTGCGCTCCAGAGCATGACAGAACTCCTCGAATGAGATCATTTGGTCGTTGTTCGTGTCAGCTTCGAGTATCGTACGTTCAGCAATACTTGTCAATTGTTCTTCACTATTGAGCAAAATCAAGTATTAAAATCGTGTATAAAGCTTTGACATGTACAGTTAGAGAATCTGATGGTGTTCGTAAAAGCTTTTCACTTGAACATTTTGTACACAATATGACGACATACAATAACCAATAGGTTTTAAATGTGTATGAAAAATCTCATTTTTTACCAATTCATTTTTTTTGTAAAAAAATCCACCTCTACTTTGTCTCATTGCAAGATTTTTGAAATTGGTCCAGTAGTTTTTAAGTTATATCAATACAAACAAAACTCCAAAAATAAAAATCTTTCCTCTTCATATAATAGTATTATTGCTTTTCAACCCACCTTATATTAACTCCCACCATCATGTGAAGAATAGCCAGTAGTTCATCCCTTGAGATCTTCCCGTCATTGTCCAAGTCATACATTGAAAAAGCAACTAGAAACACACATAAAAACGATCAAAACAAACATACATATGAAAAACATTAACATCTTTATCAATTAGGTATTACTACTTTTGAGAGTGTCGGTGGCTTAGTGGTTTAAGCACTTGACTTGTAATCTACAGATCTTTGGTTCAAATTGTGCCATGTACCAATGTGATTTTCGAATTTCCATATGTAATTTACCCGATGTTCTTACGGAGAAGGAAAACATTGTGAAAAAACCTGCACATATCGGCAAAGAAATTTAAATATATGTTTGAAGTCAACTAACTCACAGTGGGCTTGCCTGGTTGACTATGGACTAGTCACCCTAACTTAGGGTAGGCTCAGAGCCTCTCAGTGGGGACATGTAGTGAGCTGGTATTACTACTTACATCTTAACTTTTCCTCTCTACTGTTTAACTTATTTTCTCTATTCTTCCTTATTGGTCTAAAGTGTGCTAAAACTCGCATAAACTGCAGGAAGTTGACCCTGTCATCATGACTTTCAGCAAAGAAGGAATGGACTATCCTCTCACTGAGAGGGTTGATTGCAAGCTCCGGTATCCGCAGGAAGTCCTCACGCGCTAGTGTACCGCAGTCATTCTTATCTAATGACGTGAAACGGGAGTATAAACGCTCTATCTGATTCGGTGTGACTGGAAAGAATCAAAATGAATTAATAATGCTTGTTTGATTGACATTGACTAAATCTGTGTTATATATGAACATACCCATTACATTGTGTTTGTTTTGTTAATGTTTGAAGGAAATTAAATTCATATTATTTCTTACTAATATAAATCTAAATGTATAGATGGATGGATGTTTGTTATAAGGTATCTCATAAATGGCTGAGTGGATCTCCATTAAATATGATTAAAATGTAGAACAAAGTCTGAATTAATAAATAGTCTGCTTTTGTTTTTTTTACATCCATGTGGTTGTAGTCATGAGCAAAAGCTAAGCTTCTTTTGTGTTTCCAATACCTACTGATACTCTAGGGCAGAAAACATTTCAGATATAATATATTTGAATAAATTTGGTTTACATTATTATCGAGAAGTCGGTAGTAACTGTTAATCTAGTATTATAAATAATCTTATTTCCTTACAGATAAGGAAAATAATCCATGAAATGTCTACATTTTAATATGAAACAATGTAATTTATCATGCTGAAATAATTTATAGGAAGGTCAGATTCCAATAATGTAACAAAGCCTTTATGAATAAAACTTAATTGAATATTTTATCAATTTAATTCGTATGCTACGCATTTCAAATTATACGTAAATCATTTTGACATACTTACAGCCAGTTTCTTCCTGTATTTGTGCGATTTCTTCCTCTCGCAGTAACAACGATGATTTGTTTCCCATGTTTTAAAATTGCTCAGTATTGAGTTGACCTTTCGATATAAGCAATTGTAAAGTTCTAAACTCCAAAGGTAAGTACGTAAATAATTGATCAGTCACAGTATTGTGTGAAAGCATGAAATTGCATTGTTAGAGAGCACTTATATAATGTATTTTAGCGTCAATGAATGTGTTGTAATTAAAGAATTTTCATTACGATAAGTATTTTTAAACGATTGTACTATTTGAAATAAAACTTATTACCACAAAAGAAAGGTTTTTAAGTTTACAACATGAACAATGAACATTTGGTATGGTTTGTCATTGTCAATGTCAGATTATTCGTCATAGATTGTAAACAGCACAGATTATATTATACGATATTTCAAACAGAAAACCGTTGAGTTGAGTTGAGAGCGTTGGTGGCTCAGGGATTTAAACACTTCACTTGTAATCTACAGGTCCTGGGTTCGAATCAATTGTTTGGTCAGATGGTTAACTATGGTTCAGTCACCCCAAATGGTAGGCACCTAGTCCCTCAGCTGGGACGTATAGTGAGCAGCTGATGCTGATGATGACTCCAAAAAATTACTTCATTCCTCACTAAAATGAAAAATAGGAGACGGTATTCGCGATCGAAAACGTTATTTATTTGTCATCTGTAATGCGTAATGTATATTTTCGTTACTTAGCTACCAAAAACTTCAGATATCAAATTATGTAAATACAACAGTGAGAAATTGTTCAATTAAAACACTTTTGTTACAAACTGCAGAGCACATACGCGTTTTAAATACTTTTATAAAAGAATCAAATAACTTAAAATATTATATATAAGCAGGCATGGCCTCAATTAAGTTATCTTCAGAAACTTTTTCAATAGACAAAAAAACTGATGTGGAACAGTTGGATCCAGTTCTTGAAATTAATGAAAGTATAGTTACGCAAATTTTCGACCGACCATGTGAAGAAGGAGAATTTAATGAAATATCACCGAGGATATTTAATCGTAAAGTTGTAAACGATAAACTTAATATAGAATCATTAGTTAATGCCATTTACGAGCTTGGTGTAGTAAACCTTTGTTGGCCGGATATAAAAGAACCAGTCTTTGAAACAAGATCATGTTTCCCGAAAAGTTATTATACTAACACTGATAAAGAAAAACTCTTACTTGCTTACGCTGAAAATTTTAGGCGTCAGTTTTTATTATTTTACAAATTTCGGAGACCCCTGTTATTACAAGCGCCAAACGAATGTGGTTTGCAGGTAGGTCATATTTGCAATTCTATGGTATGTATCTGACTATACTACGGCCCAGCAAGGCTGCGTTCAAAATACTCACTTAAGAAAAACTTAAATCTAAATGGGCGCTATTTATGTAATGTGATTTTGCTACATGTTAAAACTTTTGGGTCATGCTATGGATATTTAAAATTAAATCAGCGACCTCTTGTGGTTTAGTTTCACACCACGTTGAACTAAAAGTCTTCAACGTTATGTAATTAATGTTATTATTTTTATAAAACATAGATGTCGCTTTTATAAAATTGCAAAGTGGGAAACAAAAAATATCGTTGCATTTTTTCTTTGTTTTAAGAAAATGCTTTGTACGACGATTAGGCCTACTAAGCTCTGCTACTCCGATACAACCACGTGGCAAGGGATCGCTACGCTAGTTTCGGACTATTTTGATTATGAACCACTTGCGAAGCCCATGCTGCACGTGAGTTACTTTTAAATTATACGTTATGTTTTAATTAGTATTCATTATAAATTAATTAATAGTAGGAAATATTTAACTGCGAAGTTATTTTATTAAAACTTTGCGTATTTAAAATAGTAAAGAGGAAAGAATAAAAGATGGCGCTGTGTGCCTAGAATTATCGACGGTGTTATTGTTTACCAAACATCATTTCAATCAAGTAATCAACTGTGATTTTTTGAATTTTTCGAAGTATTCTTCTCTGGCAATTTCATAATAGGAAAAATGTTGAGTTATATTTAACACAGTACCCAAGAACCGTTATATTACATTGATTTTGGCGGGAATTTCACGCGCAACTGCACAATTTCGGTATATAATGTAAAGAATTTTTGAAAGTTTTCTTCCATCATTTTACGGAAATAAAACACAAGATGTCGTTAAAGGTTCAAATTTAATTCTTCAACATTTCAAGATCACAAACTCTGCGTTATTAAGTATATCTTTAATAATCATATTTTTCATATTAATTTTGTACAAAATATCTCTCGAAACAGTATCCAATGGAGCTAACATAATTACAACGAATACAATACTATACTAACTTCAGTGGAAAGGAGATATAGAATCTTTGAACCGGCTCGCGTCCGACGGCGGGCGGCGGGCGGCGGGCGGCGGGCTGCGGGCGGGCGGCCTCCCGTCGCCGTCGGACGCTCGCTTCAACATCACCATAATACGCTCTATTCATTAGGAATGTACTTATAATATTAATAATTTCTCAATAATTTATAATTTTGATCACAGAGTCCTTAACTGTTAACGTTTAACATATACAATTCCGAGTCGAGACTTCGAGATTGTCTACGATATATAAAATACTGAGCAATAAAAAACAATTACACGGGTGTCGATAACCGTAGTCATCTATATCTTAACAACATATACTACCTTGTTCTTACGATTGGCACATTTGATACAATCGCAACCTCAATATTTGGTATAGGTACGCGACACTAGCGCCACAAGCGGCTCTCGCCAGACAACTATCCCTAAGCGGCCGACAGGACGCCTTGACTTAGCATTAGATTTGATCTGAGGTAGAACATAGGGATCGCACTACGGTAGGGCAACAACACCTAGGAATGTAATCGACAATGGCAACGTACAGCGACAGCGGCGGCGACTGCGGCGGCGATGGAGGCACTACTTAGGTACTCTAATGACATAACGACTCGTGCGCATCAGAAACTAACATGACTGTGGATCTGTAACATTTATCAACTATATTAACACAATAAAGTTTGCTATAAACTCGGAAAAAGTTCAACTATCAATGTAGAGATTCGACAAAGCTATCGAGGGAACCGCGCCGGCCCCGTACCGCGGCTACGTTAAACCTTACGAACTAAACAAATATAATGCATAGCTTTTCTTTTAGAACAAAGAAATTACGCAAATTTGGCTACACATATCACAAGTGAACGCTTACTGGCGACGACGTAATTAAATATGTACACGTATAATTGAAATATTCCCTGTAGCGAGCGCGCAAGGCGGGGGCGCCTACTTGCGGCGCGCGGCGTGGTCTGCGGGCGCGGCGGGCGCGGGGGGTGCGGCGCGGCGCGTGCGCAGGTTGTGCAGCAGCGCGCTCAGCTGGTGCACGTGCATGCGCGTCACGCTGGGGTCGCCGCTCGCCTCCAGCCACCTCAAGAACTTCTCCCCGTGCTCCAGCGCCTCCGCCGCCCCGCTCTCCCACTCGCCATTCGTCACCTCATTCGACTTCGCTTCCTCCCCGCTCGTTTGATTGTTATTATTGAATAACAAGTTGTCCAGAACGTTTCGCGCCTTATTTTGACTTCTACCGGTGTCTACATTTTTCTCGTGATTGGGCTCCTTGTTCTCTGTTCCGATATCGGGGCTAGGTACGGGCTCAGTCAGGCGGGGCTCGGGTGCGGCGGGCTCGCGCACCTCCCCGACGGCGGCGGGATGCGGAGGCAATGGAGCAGGTATCGTTGTCGCGGCATGCTCCTCCTCCGCTTTGCCTCTCGTCAATTGTGAATAAAGAATGTTCTCCGCCGCTTTGTCTTTCGGGACCTGCGATGCAGATTTCAGTTTGTCGTCGGGGAAGGGCATCGCGCCACCGAACTGTTTGTAATATTGCCACAGCCAAGAATTTCTGTTATAATCTAAGTGAGAATTGAGAGGAGGAGCGGGCGCGACCGGCTTCGGCGGCAGACTTGGCTCGCTCGGTTTGCCGAGCTGCAGCGGGTGGGCGGTGGTCGTCTGTGCGGTCAGGTCGAGCATGGCCTGCTGAGTCTTAAGCCAGTACCACAGAGAGTCGTCCACTGGCTGAGTCGCGCTCTGGGAACTGCTGTGATGTGACTTAGAGCCGCTGTGACGGTAAGGATCGGAGGAGTGCGAATGATGGGACTTGCTCCGATGTTTAGTCTCGCTGAGGTTGAGGCCGCCGTTGTGTGCAGGCTTGGGAGAGCGCACGGAGCGCAGCGCGCGGCTCGCCGGCTGAGCCGAGAGACCGGACAGGCCAGGGTTAAGCTGTGCGAGCAGGGTCAAGTTGGTAGCGATTTCGTTGAAGCTAATGCCGAGGTGGGAGTGCGTGAGGCCGGGCAGGTGCGCAAGGCCCGAGAGCGGGCTGATGGCGCTCATGGAGACGCTGGCGCCAGGGTCGGCGCGGCGGTCGCGGTGCGGGGCGTGGTGCAGAGCGGGCTCGGTGCGCTTGGTAGTGAGTTCGACGGGCGTGTCTGCTGGCGGCAGGGGTGCGGAGGGCGGGGTGTGCGCGGCGCCGACCGGAGCGGAGAGGTCGAGGCCGGTAGGCGCGGGCGAGTGCGGCGCGACGGGGGACTCCGTGCGCGCGCGCTTGTCGAGCGGCTCGCCGTCGTTGCTCTTGTCGGTGTCGGGCGAGGAGAGCCGCGAAGTCATGTAGCGCAGCTTGTCCTCGTTCTTGCACCAGCCACGCAGCGTGGACTCGGGCACGCCGATGTCGCGTGCAACCGACGCCTTAGACTCGCCGTCGTTAACGCGCTGGATCGCCTCGATCTTGTCGCTGGGCGTGAGCGCGCGCATCGGCCGTTTTCCTTTAGTCGCCATAGCGACCACGCTCCAGCTGTAACAATGAAAATATTCCGTTATGTTTAAGGTTGAAATCTTTATCTCGACGAATTTGACAAATGTAGCGTATATCACAACTTCTGTATTAAAGAAGTCATTGAGTAGAATTACATGTTTTGTTATAAGATTCATGGTATAATTAATATCCACACATGAAAAGTCAAATCAGAAATAAAATGTTCGACCATCATTAGTTACATTGTGTTATCTAATCTATTCTAGTTATTTATTTGTTGATGTCGTCTGCTAAAAGCTAAAATCTTTATCTCCCGAAGAGAGAACATAAAATATAAGCAACATATATTAGCTCGAGGTAGACGAAAACACGTTCAAGGTTACTGAACTCCCACTTATCAAAAGGTGTGCACGGTTCGCGCGCAGTATAAAAAATGTATTATCTATTGAATGCAATAGCGAGCAATATCAGGGCTAGTTGCGGTATAAAATACGATGTTTGCGCGGGAAGCTATAAAGTTACGAAAAGATAAACAAAAAGAAGACATAAAATTATGACCTACGACAACAGTAAACGGCAAAAGTTGTCGGGTCGTTGACACGGTGACCTTGTGAGCGCGCGCCCCACGCTCCCGCGGTCGCCGCTAGGTGGCGCTACAACACCGAGTTGCGCTTTTTGTCTTTATAATTTTTAAACAACGTATTTACGTAAAAAACTAAATGAAATATTATTATTTATTTGACATAACATGTCGTAACATGACGCAAAACGATATTAAAAGTTTTTGCGTTTAGATTTTGCGATAACTCTTTCTAAAACTTTTTTAATTAATAATTTTTGTTTCATTTATTTATAGCGAATTTTGAGAATGTAAATAAGATATCTTTATAGCATGTTGAAAGTGAAAAAATCACAGCCTGATTATCGTTATAGTATTTTTAACATATTTTGGAGTTGTGTATGTAGGTAGGTATTTCAGAAAATGTTAAATAAGTAACAAAACTATTAATTTTTACGCCGGGAAATAGTTTTTGACAAAATTTTTAATTTTTGTGAATTCTAAAAGTGTTCAGTTTCTTTTTAAACTATAAGAGATGTGGAATTTGTATAGCGATGAATTGTAATATTTATTTTTGTATGTTTAACAGATTTTCAACTTGCACAAAACAAACGCTTGATGTTTTTATTACTTTTACGTGGATTATTTGGTTTTATAGTATCAAAGTGAGGTCATCAATAAATATCTACGCAACAATGTTTTTTCTGGGAATCTGCTGCTTTTCTGTTTTTTTTTTTACAGTGACGCCTATTTTATAACATTTTAACAAATTTCTGTTTTTTGTTTAGATTAAATAAAATTAACTTATGTTGTAATTTTTATTTACTTCTAATAGTGCATATCGGAGTTACGGCTTATCATTTTTTTTCTTTTTCGTAACTTTTTAAGCTCTTTCATTCAACATTTTTCAATGAATAAGATACAAAAACTGTTCAACTATACTGACATTTTAAACTTCAATAAATAACATTTTGAAAACACTGAAATTAGTATTTTTCTTTGTAATTCTTACTAATTCAGAAACATAAGTAAATTTAAATAACAAAAAATGACCGATTCGAATGTTTCAAACATTGCATCTCTTCAACGTAATAACAATAACGATATAAACAAAACTTACTTGTGGGCCGGCGTCACGTGCGCTGTTGTTTACAACCTTTGACAGTTGCGTTGCTTCGTCTCACAAACAGTTAGTAAGCAATCGCACACCTCGAAAAGTTCACAAGTTCTGGCTTCACTGTCACAAGTAACTATTCGCGGGTCGGACGGCACTCGCGGAAACGTGCGTCGCGGGGGACGCGAGCCGACTGTATGCCGCTCGGTGATAAGGCCGCCCGGCTCGCGGCTCGCCGGCCGGCCGCGCCTCTCCTTTGTGTCCGTCCGACACCCCCCCGCGGCCCCCGCAGCCCCGTACGCCCCCGCGACACACCCCGCAACCCCCGCGGATAACCCTCGCTCTTTATTAATGTAATTAATTCCGAACACATCGACTTTCTAGTATCAAAACTGCATCTATCTTTACCCGCGACTCGAACTTTTCACAACTCTCATAGTTTTGTTTGCAAGACTGAAAGAGTGTCGGTAAGCTATACTAATATTACAAAGAGGAAAGATTTATATTTTTGTATTTTAGTATGTATTGAAATAACTCAAAAACTGAGCCGATTTTAAAAATTATTTCACCGTTAGAAAGGTAATTTATCGTTTTTATTACTTTTTAATAATAAGCGGGTGAAGTCGCGAGCAACAGCTAGTGAATTATGTTTTGGTTTTAGATCGCTACGCTTTCGTAGCGTCTTACCGCTACGTTTGTAAACAATCCGTAGAAAGTTGTTGAATTTATAATTGCGTCTTGCTTGTTTGTCGCTCATAACATGAGTAAGTTTTAAAAGTTTTCATGAACGTGCTTTATATCTTACGTTTGATAACTTAGTCACTTTTATTTTCAACTTTCAGTCTTTATTTTATACGTTATCTTTACTTTTACAGTTAAAATATTTTTAGTAGCTTTCGCCAGCGACTACGTTCGCGTGGAATTAAAAAGAAACTGAAGTGAGTAGCCTATGTGTTCTTCCAGACTATCCTCTACATCTATACTAAATTTCATTGAGATCCGTTCAGCCGTTTAGGTTACAAACTCTAACAAACATCCATCCATCTATCTAAACTTACACATTTATAATATTAGTAAGAGGTAAGATTAGTAAGATATAATTCTTATGCTACGCATGTTTAAAGATAGGTTACTTTCTTTATATCTTCTATTTAAGACGGAAATTTTAGAATACGACGCAAAAGCGGAATGTACCAATATTTTAATATTGACCACTAACACAAATTAAATGAAGAAAATTATTTAAGGAGTTCCCACATTGTCTAAAACCTAAAGAAAAACGAATGATGATAAAATGATGCAGACAAGAGAAAAGAATTTATCTATTTAATCTAATTGTTAGGTAGTTACCACAGATAATATAATACTATACTAGTAGTTATCATACTAATATTATAAATGCGAAAGTCTAGATGGATGGATAGATGGATGTTTGTTAGAGTTTATAGCCTAAACGGCTGAACGGATTTCGATGAAATTTGGTATAGATGTAGAGGATAGTCTGGAAGAACACATAGGCTACTCACTTTTGTTTTTTTTAATACCACGCGGACGGATTCGCGAGGGGAAGCTAGTGATTAATATTTATGTTAGAGAAATTAAGCCAAGTGAAGCCATTATTAGTAGACTATGTATATAAAAGACCAACATTTCCGCGTAATAATTTCAAAGAATAGTTTATTCAGCTGATAGCAACAATCCTTTGGTTATTTATACGTTTTTAATCTATTGTCTGTTTAGATTAAAAGCGCGGAGCTCTTTGACTAGTTGTTGGCGCTGACTTTGCTCGGCCGCGCGCATCGTAAAGTGTTAATGAGAATATGAACTGGTCTATGTCGAAGATATTGTCTACATTCTAAATCGCAATGTACGGGTCTAACCCACTTTTAAGTATGTTTTGAAGGTAAATGTTTTGTTGCTCATAAAGGCATTGACTATGTGGATACTTGCTACACTTTTCTAGTTAATCTATGAAATATTAGGTTTTGACCCGACTACGCCCGCTAGGAATTAAAAAAGAATATACTTTTAAAGGACACAAGCTACATAGCCTATGGTCTGCCAGTATGTACAATATTAATATTATACATCGATCACCCTTTAGCAGTTTAGGCTACAAAATGTCACCTATCAATCTAAACTTTTGCATTTATAATATTAGTAAGCTTGTTTGAAAGTAGCGCTAGTGGTGGAGAAATTGAGAAGCAAAAGGTTAGCGTGGTATTCACATGTTATACGACGACGATGAGGACATAAACCAGAAAGTGTTAAGATTGAATGTGTATGGCTACAAAGGAAGAGGAAGACCGAAGAAAGTATGGATGGATTGTGTGAAAGAGGATATGCTTAAGATAGTGGATTCAGATATGACGGCTGATAGAGATGTATGGAAGAGCAGCACATATTGTGCCGACCCTCCATAAGGGATAAGGGCAAGTGGATGATGATGATGAGTAAGCTTGTGTAAATATATTTCTATTGTAGGTAGGGATCGCTGCCTTTTAACTTATTGCAGAAGTCTATAGACAGAGGTTAGATTGTCACTTGTTAGTTGACCACTTTTATCATCTCTCTGTCCTTATCCCGCTTAGGGGTTAGTGCATCAGGTTGTCTTCTTCTAGATCTGTCATTTAAGTCATTACATTCATAATACTTTTGACGATATAATGTTATCTTTGATAAATAACAAGGTTCATTTTTTAGTAAAGGTACCAGTGACGTCATCCGGTCACCTTGACGTGTTGTCCAGTGCTGGTTTAGCGATTAATGAGGTGGGCAGTAACCAGTATTTCACAACAGATAATGAACAATCGACTTTGAACAATAGCGTTTTAAAAATTGCCTCCAGTTAACCGCGAGAGATATTTGTTTAGCCATTTTTGTCATAAATATTCAGGATCTCTTATACGTTTATTCTTAAATTGCTTAAGTAAGTTTAGATGGATGGATGTTTGATAGTCTGTAGCCTAAACGGATGAACAGATTTAGGTAAAATTTGGCATAGATGTAGAGTATATTCTGAAAGAACACATAGGCTACTTATTTTTGTTTTTAATTCCACGCGGATGGAGTTGTTAAACCTAGTTGTTTTAGACAACTTATTTAATTGATACTGTCGCTTTAAACTCAGAGCAACACTTCTCGTCCAGACCCAGGTTGCGCGCTAATCTATCCATACTTCTAGTGACATTGACAGCTGTCAGCTAGGGACGTGACGTTTATGCCGATAATCTAGAGTTGCGCCAATTCTATAGCACGGTACTAATTTTATTTCTAACAGTTGTGACATGAAGTTTAGGTGTTCAACTCTTTTGCTATAATAATCTTTGCGATGAATAATTACAAGTCTTTAAAAGTTATAAATTTTATCCCAGTATGGATCAATATAATGCCTTTTTTGGTTTGCGATTGACAAATAGTGTTTTTGTGTGCTTTATTAGCAGCTGGTCTATGTTGGCATGGTCGGGCGGTCGGGCAGGCAGGCGGGCAGAATTGCGGCGTGCTGTAATACCCCTCGTAGGCCGTTAATTGTTGCAGCGTCGGCTTTGACTAATGCCCGGCCGTGTTGGCGCACACCGCGCCACTACATGCTCCCACTTTATTTGTCACACATTGGTCGATTTGCCAAATGTTTGGACAATGTTTGAGGTAATGTGTCTAGTATTCCATGAGAGGAGTTTAGACATCTCTAGAATAGCTGCTGCTGTTCCTCTAGGTAATCACAATTATACTCCAAAAGCTGAGGTCTTCGTATTTGTTTCTGTCACCTAATTATACTTAAAAGTTAGTAATTAAAGCCCATATACGCACAGATCGACAGATCAATTAAAACTGACAGAACTGAGTCTGTAGCGGGCTTTGTGTGGATGTTTCCAAGTTTCGTGTTTGTAATATAGATGTATAGTTACGTTCGTGAGTCGGGCGTAAGTTTAGGTAGGTAGTCGGGTAGCTGGAGGCTAGCGGTTCGTAGGTATGTTTTTGCCAAGTCGAGGCCGCACAAAGGCCCTCGCCGCGCGGGGCCGCCGCGTCGCGATTTACGACGCGTCGCCCGCACTGTATTTCGGGCATTGGCGATGTACAATGATCAATGAAAGAAAGTGGATGCGGTATTTTAAATGTTTTGTTTAAAGTTTATTCACTGAAGGCGTTAGGGTCGTACTTTATCATATAAAAATGATGACGATAAATTATTTCTAAATAAAATTGTATACTATCATTTGTAATTAAAACAACTTTTTACTTTGTTGTTCATCTCTGCTAAATGTTAAGTATATCATGAGCATACTGAAATTTTACGATTAAGCTTATAGACAAGATCCCTTTATCTATGTTCCAGTGAAAGTCATCTAAGTTGACACGTAAAGTCCGTAATGTTATGGTGAAAGTGTGCTCTGGTTGCCGCATCCATGACAGATCGTTTCGTAAATCCGGCAGCACGTTCTCTAGTGATTTTGTTATCGGCGGCGCGGCGGCACCCCCCGGCGACATCCGACGCCGCGCGCCATTACCCCGCGCCTCCCGCGACCCGCGCAGCCCCCGCGACGCCTGCCCGCCACCCCCGCGCCCCCGCACCCCTCACCCGCTCATTAGCCCGATGGCGCGAGACCGGCTGCACTCGGTGACGCCGCGACTTGAATTTTTAGACACGTTTCTATATCACATGGGTATGTATAGCTGCTGAGTGTACACGCTCCGCGCTCGTGGACAGAACAAACAACTTGGGAGACCCTTCTATTGCACTTTCTAAAGCAAGATCGCACCCGCAAATCTTGATTGACGACCGATCGGTGTTTTGTAATTAGATAGAAATGCCTACTCCTGTATAGTTTCTACTTAGAAGATGTATTGTTAATTTGTCCACTGCACTTAAAGCATATAATTACGTAAATGATCTTAATTAATTTGAAGGTTATTCCATTAAAATATAAAACACTGTCTTAATAAGATTAAATCTATACACAACTTTTTTTTAAATTGAAGATCGTCTGTGGAAACGTGGATATATACTGCAGTATATGCTTAATTGTTATCTGCCGCGAATGCATCAGGGCCGCGGCGAGACGGCGTCCGAGGCCGGCTGACGGCCAGATAACGACCCAACCCTGCGACCTTCACCTGCAGTACTTCCAATACCTACTTTAATGTATTGCATTAAGATTGACTTTAAGTTGAAGTGTGGCTACCGAGTCGTGACGTCACGTCGCGGATCGCGGACCGAAAGTTGATGATAATTTGCCAACGG